TAATATAAATTAAGTAGAACATAACGGTGTACTTGCTACACATAAATTTATATCCTAAATACATACATACATGGATAATATAATACATAAAGGTAAATATGATATTAAATATAGCATATGTATTATGTACCTACATATATAAAAAAACTAAAAGGATAAATAATATGATTTCAACTATCTTAAAATTATCGAGACTTTTGGCCTGCCTGATTTCTAATGGGAGAAGATGAATACCATAAATGTGCAGTTTTCACTGTGAAAGATTTGGTGAGGATACAAAAGGAGCAAGAAGGAATTTTAAAGAGATATATGTTTTACTAGAGTCACGGTAATATTTTACTTTTCCGTGCTAGAGCGAAGTGAAAGAGTATGAGAGAGTCTCTCAAAAAGTCAAAATGGAACTGGGGAAGAAACTAAATTTAAACAAAAAAAAAATTAAATTTATTCAAAAATCAGTTCTGGCTAAATATAACGAAGCTTAATATACAAAGGCAATAGAAACTACAATTTATTATACAAGTATACTATAGAACTGGAGATATTTCATTACGGAAAGGTCTATTCAATTCAAGTAGAGTCGAGTGGGAGTACTGTAATAATTACTTTATAACTATGAAATTAATTACAAATAGATTTTGAAGTTAGTAAAATAGATTTTAAAATATTATATTCTATTATTAGTCGTGTGAAATATACGAAATTGACGATCAGTCAACCTATCTACCTGTATCTTATTTATTTTTTTTTAACGTTGGGAAATGCATTTACGCACGACGTGTGTGACTCACCGGCGTAATACAGCCAGTACTACCCACTAAAACCCAACAAAACCTTCCCCCGTCATAATGGGGCGTCGCAGGATCGCTTACGCATTCAACTACGACGCCCCGACGGCAGGTCTGCCAAAGCAGACCACCACAACCATGGGGTTGCTCCAAGGTCCACTCTGCTATCAGAGAAGTACCAGGAGCAACCCGCAAGGTACACCGCTCCCCGAAGAGGGCCACCTCCCACCGCCCACCGAAGTGAGCAACCTCCCTGTGCGTTTCTTAGCTTCGCTACTACTACTGAGCTCCCCACCACGACAAGGTGAACGCACGTTGGGGGAGATCTACCTGTATCCTGTAATATTAACAGATATTGAAATATTACATTTAATTATTAACATGTTTTCATATTCAGGCTTAGGATTCACTCAAGATATTATTAATTTAAAAACAGAAACTATAAGTAAATCTATACATATAATAAAATTGAAACTAAACCGAATCTGTACATTGAATATTTTATGGAAAATTCTATTGAAATAGACATTATTATCGATACAGAGGCCGAATCTATAGTTATTAGAAATTTTGTCTGTCTGTCTGTTACCGCATCACAGAAAAACGACTAGAGGGATTTTGATGAAATTTGTTATGGTCATAGCTCGTTATCCGGGTCAACATATAGGATACTTTTTACCGCGGGAAAATATCTCATTTCTTAGAAAAAAAATACAAAAACTGCAATGTATACTAATATGTAAAACCTAAGAATTTGGTTTTTGGTCATCTGAACGCGGGCGCAGCCGCGGGAAGTGTTAGTTAGTAAATAAATGATTAAAATTAATTCAGTATGAAAGTTTTTCTTATTAAGCTGTTTGATTTGTAAGGTTCCAAAATTTAGTAAGCGTAACCACAATATTTTTGACCTGCCATGAACTAGAACGAAATATGCACGAAATACCTTTATACTTCGCTCATGTAATGAGTATAATAAAAATTTACAAGTATAGACATATGTTCGAATTAATTTTTAAGTTTCAAAAATAGTATTTATAACCTATTGTTTAATTGTTGATTTTGTGTTTTATGTATTTTATGTTTTTCCTTATTTTTTATTTTTTTATTATTCATGTTAACCAGTGTTTCATTTTGTAATTTTTTAGTTTAGTGTTTAGCTTTTTGATTTTCTCATTCTCATTGTGGTCTGCTTCATATTTGTATTGTTTAATTTGTGGAAACTTCATTGGTTTATGTGTTATCTATTATTATTAATTATTTGTGTAATATCGTACTGCTTGTTTCCCTAAAATAAATAAATAAATAAAATAAAAATAAATAAATAAAACTAAACAAAACAACAACAAAACAGAAGTATAGACATACTAATAGTATGATACTATAAATGTTATTGTTAAACCAAAAAGTGCAGTATTGCTAAATCAAATAGGTATGGACTAAGATCCCGCTGCAAGATTGCTACGTTGATAGCGTATTTAATCGAAATCATTGTTTTATATATAATAATAAAAGGGAAAATAAGTTTTGACCGGGGTGCCTATTCAAATGTGCCCGCTAGTATGTTTAATTAACTAAATAATAGTTGACTTTTTGGAACAAAAACGTTGCATTTGTTATTACAATGAATTATACTCCACTTCACAGAACTATACCTACGCAGAGATCTTGAAAAATGATAGCTGCCGTTGCGCATTTGGCCGCAACCTCTTCGCAGCCAGGTGTAAGCGGGTCATATTTTGAGACGTTTATATGTTCATCGCATATATTCATCATTTATATATCAAATTAAAAGTAATTTTTTTCTGTACCTGATAAACTACGTCTGCCTATGTAAAAGTCGCCGCAAAAGTGTCTGTGGTATCGTAGCGCCCAAATGGATGAACTGATTGTAATTTAACTTTTTTTTATTTAAAGGTGTAAATTAAGCAAATCCGTTGAGCCGTTTGCAGGCTATCCGCTCTTTTCTAGGCGGTAAAAAGATAGAGCAACTGCCACAGATCTAACCCTTTCGAATCTCGGTATCCCGTCACTTCAATGACATTTCAACGATAAGCTATCCTTGTCTTGATGTTACAACGTCACGTGAAACCTGCAAGATACTCAACTCTTTAATAACATACTGCAGAGATATCGTGTTTAGGCTTATTGAACAGGCCTCAGTGAATAGGTTATTGTGTTGGGGCTTTTTAAATTTTTAATTTAATTTCTCGTTAATTTACTAAATAAAATTGGTGTTACTATTGAATACAATATGAATGCATAACACTCTTTAACCAGCATTTAATAAAGTTAAAGTTAGCACCGATATCAAAAAAAGATACCTACAGATAATATCTCTTTAGTTGGTACCTATAATAAATTTGTATTTTTGATTTTATTCATATCATAGTAAAATTTCCTATTTCGGCCTTTTAAGCTAATATAGTCTAGTAAAGAAAACCTCTGGTTTTGTTTTTCTTAATCTTTACATAGTATAAAATGAAGACGCTTCCGCTGTCTGTTCGTTTAGATCTTTTAAACTACTTAACGGATTTTAATGCAGTTTTCAACAATAGATAGAGTGATTTAAGAGGAAGGTTTATAAGTATGTATAATACAAGCATATTATAGTAAAGAAAAGCCGAGAAATTCAAAGATTTGTATTTCATACCAACCGTTAAAACGTATCTAGGGACGAACCCGAGCAAAGCGAGGGTGAGTCGCTAGTTAGGTAGGTATATTTTATTCTTAAACTTGGTTATATTTTCTTTAAAACTGAAAATAATAATTTTCAGTTATTCTTCTTCTTCATTTATTATTTTACAACTTTAAGGAAAAAACCATTAGTGCATAAACACAAAAACCCATTTGGTTTTTCTGGTATAAGAAGTGTCCTTTGATCGAATGCCCCTGTGAAGGTTGGCTTAAAATTACAAATTAGAAATCTTTAAACCCTATTATTCATACCTTTTTCAAAGTTGGGCAATATATTTATACAATCTGCATATTATTCAGGTAATGAAATCGTGACTCAGCGATTAGAAAGTCATTTCACGCCCCGACTGAGGAAAGCTGCCCTACGTAGGCAGACCTCCTCTCGTATGAATCTTAGATTAAGCGTATTTCTACATTACGTAGCGTGTTCAATAAGTATTGTCGTGTAATCTCATATGTCAAACATAGAGTACCTCCTAGTATCTACTACCTAGCATCATCATGATCATGAATTAATGACTTAATAAATAATAATAGGGCTTGGATGCGGGCTGATTTCCGACTGGGATAGTCGGCGCTCCATGGGGCGAGTATCGGGCGGAGATCAGCTTTATCAGTACTTGTGTTACAATAGCCGATGCAAGGCAATGCAATATAATTATAATGAAAATATTACACATTTATTCTACGAGTATAAGGTAGTTTTCCAATTAGAGCACTAGAGCGCATTATGCGGCATAATGTTCAATTTCGAATGTTTCAACTACAGCAACGCTCCGCACAATCGAGAACTTTGAAAAGTACTGCTATGGTAGGCGCGCAACGGATACCAACTCAGTAGCTGAAAATATAAGAAATGTTTTTTCTTCAAGGTGGCATTGATCAAAATTTTATTTACATTATCGTTGCAAATATAGTATAGTTATATTTTTTCTTTCAACACTGAACCTAGTTACCCTTTGCTGATGCACTTGAAAAGTAATTAACGTTCCAATTAAGCATTAGTACACTCCAGCATTGTGCGCCAAAGTGCGGCATTATTCTCTGTAATTGGAAAACAATGTAATTTCCTCAGCATTGCTTCCGTTGGCTCCAATAATATGATCTGATTAATGTACAATGTGAATGAAAACCTCCGTTTAGTTTTTCCTTACTTTAAGTGAGCTAAACTCGGTTTTCATTTTTTCAAGGTTTTAATAAATGTAATAATTGTATAAAGTATGATAATTAAATCGATGATATTAGTTTCTTCAAACGAGTTTCAATTTTAAAAAACGATTCAAAGACATCACTACAAATGATTGACAGTTTTACCCAAATGTGAAATGACATAATGAGTACATACCTTATTACCTATGACATTTCAATTCTAAATCTAAGTTTAATGTGACGTGATACAAACAAAAGTATATCTACTCATATACTTTTAATATTACGCTGTAAGTAGTGCATAGGTAAATTTTGTACCTATACTAATATCGTTTTAACTAAATCTCTAAGAATCTTAAATATCTGTAATCAATGCCCTACATTTTGATCAGAGGTAATCTAGCATCGTACGGGCACAAAAATCCTTGGCGTGTTTTGGTGTCCGGCTTGAAAGGTAGATTATGACAACATTAGTGCATTTATCTAAAAATGAGAAGTGCGTCTAAAATATCAACCGATTAACACATGGCTTACAATATCTTTTCTCATTTTTATATAAACACATACTTCAACATGATTTAGTTAGCTATATAACTATTGCTGTTTTTCCTTTTACTATAGCTGGTGACATTGAACAACTTAAAAGATTTGCTTGTGGGGGCTATTGTGATGATTCAACAATTGTTTATCTTCAACATCCTTGCGTAATCCTCAGTGCATTAGAGGTAAATAATCCTAGTATGAAATGTGACTAAAATCATACTCAACATTACAATAATGTGTGTAATAATAATTGTAGAGGATAATAATATAGAGATATAATTGCAGGTCCTGGGTTACAAAGTTGTGGCTTCTAGTTCAACTGCCGTCAAACAAGATTATAATGAATATATGTGGACTATGAGAAAAGAATTTTCAGAACCTGAACCTTCAATAATTGTTGAGCAAGATAACATTACAAACTTTAGTAAAGAGGCTATGCACTATCAGCATTCTAATAAGGACGAAGAGGTGTAATCATATCATTAAGTATAACAAATACTATTTAGAGGGCACTCATTATTACTATGGACAAAGGCAGCCAAAATATTTTAGTTAGCAACTTGGCTAATAGTATATTGCAACAAGATGATTGTATTTATATTGCTATAAAAGGTTCCTTGCATGCAAATGACTGCTCAGTGTTTGGTCTTGGCCAAGAAGAGATAAAAGCCATTGTAAAGAAATTCCCTGGTTCTGGTTCCAATGTGGTAAATGGACTTACAATAAAATCAAACGTCCTTCAGGCCATAAATGCCTTAAGCCAACTAAGCTATAAAGTTGTTTCATCTACTGGGGAAGCTGAGATTACCTGGACACTTAAAAGAGATATTTAATTTTATTATATTTAAATAGAAACTATAATTCATCAAGGAAAATTATTTATTTTTGATATTTCTTTTATAGTTTCTAAAGTAAAAATGTATCATCAGAACAATTGTTGTAACCATTCCAACTGTGTAACTAGCACTAATGAGTCTGTTCGCCAGACACTTTCAGAAATGGATTGGGAGAGAGGCATATGGAATGCAGGTAAAATAAGCAATATATATGCAATATTTTTTGAAAATATTAATTAAAAAATTGGCTTTCTAATAAAAAGTAATTGGTAAAAATAGCTTTCTCAGGGGATATGGATCGCATCCAACAGTTAATTGACAGAGCAAGGAGTCCAAAAGATCTAGTGAATAGTCTAGACAATGCTGGATACACAGCACTACATTATGCTGCACGCAATGGACATGTTAAAATTTGTGGCATTCTTTTAAGCAATGGAGCAGACATTAATGCTCAAACGAGAAGTGGTAAAGCCACACCTCTATTTAAAGCAACAGCAGCAGGTGAATTTTTATTCTGTTATTTAATGTTTTAAAATCAATCATCCTTTTGATAATAAATTTTTGCTATAATAAGTTATCTTATCACTTTTACACTTATCATATTGCGATATTATTTTTATAAATATAATGTTTTTCAATTTACTTCTTTTGCACTATTGACTTATTTCAGAAATTTTATAAGTGGTAGGCTCTTGGAGGAAAATATGAATATATTTTTTTATTATTATTTCATAATTTATTTTTACCAAACTATTATATAAACCTTTCTAATCATGATAGTTAATTTAAATTCAACTACAATTAAGTTTTTACTTTAATAGATAAGGAAGAAGTGGTTAAATATTTAATTAAAAATGGGGCACAGATTAATTTACAAGATGCTGATGGCAAAACACCACTTCATAAAGCTGTGGAAAACAAAAATCATACAATCATTCAACTTTTACTTGAAGCTTGTCCCTCTTCAAAAAACATAAAAGATAATAAAGGTAACCTTGCAATTGTGTGATGCTAAATATAAAAATCCATGAGCGATTTCTTTCTCATATAATATGTAATTTCTTTAATATCTTATATTCTTATTGAATTCATTTATGCCATAAAATAATAATGATAATGCTAATTACCCGACTGCGGCAAAGCCCAAAGAAGGGTTATGTGTTTGACCTGTATGTTTTGTTGGTGTTTAACACTTGGCAATAAAAATAAATGTTATGTTTAGAATTCTTTATTTTATATAATAATAAAGACATTTAAACCCTGTATTTATATTTAATATTTTTGCTAAGGCATATTTATTGAAAAAACATTCATAACATGCATTTTCTAATATAATTAATACTTTATTGTTTTTTTTAATGAATATGTAGAATAAAAGAGAGAAAATTATTTATTATATAGTTGTGTGTAACATTTAATTCTATATTTACTATTTCTAAAAAATATAACAATTATTCCTAATTAATACAAGATTTCTATTCTATACTATAGATAACATAGTCATGGTAAAATAAGTCTATACATGTAGGAAGTTGTTCAATTACATAAAAAATAAATACTTATTAAATAAATAAAATATTTTGTCTTTTAGAACATATTTTATTTGTATATCACTAATTGTAGTTTTCATGTACGAAAATGTTTTATATTTTCACTAATGTACACCTTTTTATTATTAAACTATTTAATCTTTCATTAAAAATTTAATGTAAGTGGTGTTTTATTTTACACCTTAAACCTTTAAGAGGCAAATAAACATAGAAACAAGAGATTATCGCGTTTCAGACACTTAAAAATACATGTTATAGAGTAAGCTGTAGGCATGTGAACAACAGTCCGACCGATTTTTTTATGAAGATCGAGATAATATACTATAAATTAAAGAAAGGTTTAAATTGACTTCACATAGTTCACACGTATTGTACACTTTTTATGCATATATACATATGTACTAGAAAATGAGCAATTGTATAACCCCCTTTTTCCAAGTCGGCTCAAAAATTTCTGTTTAATGTTTAATCTATCATTGAAAAGTTTACAGACCTACTTACATCAGTTTTTTTAATCATATAGATAAGCTACCTAGTAAAAAGTTAATGATTTTCGAAACCTATTATGTAAATAATACTGCAGAGATAATACGACAGTAACCTGTAAAAACGCTTCATTACACACAATCCTAATTCTAGGTCAGTCCTGGTAATATTGGCTAAATAAAATTAATATTTAAGTATATTGCGAGTGCGTTTTTGTTATTTATTTTTTTTTTACGTTTTATCAGCATAACGGATTTGATTGAATATCCTAATGGAGATATTTTAAATTCTGGATTACACTTAGGCTGTTTTTTCGGTACGTCTACCGCGGAAGCATAAATACCAAAGAACTTGAGAATACGAGTATATGAAGTATTCATCTGTACATATAATAAAATTAAATAAATAAATATGTTGGGACATTAACACAACACCATCTAGTTCCATGGTAAGCTACGAGGCCTGTGTTATGGATACCAGATAGTTGATACACTACACATATATAAGTTTAAATACATACATATTATAAATATAAACACCCATGACTGAGTACAAACATTCGTGCTCATCACACAAATGAATGCCCCCAGCGGGACTCGAACCCGCGACCGCTGGCACTGCAAGTAGGGTCACTACAGACTGAGCCAAGCGTGTCGTCAATTGTAACTAAGCCGATTCTGTACCTACATCAGAATTTTTTTGGAAAACTTTATTGAAATAAACATTATTATCGATACAGATGCTGAATAGTTAGCTATAGTTTTTAGAATTTTTGTCTGTCTGTCTGTTACCGCATCACAGAAAAGCCACTGGAGGGATTTTGATGAAATGTGGTAGTGATAGCTGGATATCCGGGTCAACATACAGGTTACTTTTTACCGCGGGAAAATGTCTCATTTTTGAGAACAAATACAAAAAGTGCAATGTAAGAGTATACTAATATGTAAAACCTAAGAATTTGGTTTTTGGTCATCTGAACGCAGGCGGAGCCGCGGGCAATGCTAGTTGCCTATAATAATTAAAAAATATTATTTTCTTTGAGGCTCATAGCGACAAAGATAGAAAATAACAGATGGTAATAAGTTTTAAACCTACAGATTTACTCATATATAAGTAATTTAAAATTAAAAAAGATTGTACAATATAGTTTCACATTGACAAAGAAAGCAGTTTTGCACATAAAAACTTAATTTATTTTTTAGGTCAAAGATCATTGTGAGGTGAAAACTGTTAGACGTGAGTTCGAATGAATTGAAAACAGTTAATTAAACAAACACAGTACAAAATGAAAAGAATAACAATTCTTACACTAAAGCATACGATTAAGCAATGTTACCGTTTTATCACTATTATTTTGAGTTCAGTAATGATAAAAAATATTTGTTGCTTTAATTAAAAGTGATTAAGAGGCCATGATATACCTAATATCACAAAATGTACTGAGTTTTATGGTATTGTTTCTAGCATTTTCTGCAGTTGTAATTACTTATATGTAAAGTTTTATAATAAATTATTAAAAAAAAGTATGTATGTAATTACGTTTCTTTTGAACTGACGTATATTCTGGTATAAATATTACTTAAAATAAGAAATGTTACCAAAATTATAAATTTAACTACATGAATGTCAATATACCAATACACTAGCGAATTATAAAAATAATAAAATCAGTTATAATTTAAGTATAAGATGAACTAAAAATCACAATTCAATTCGTTGTTCATTATTTCAGTGTCACATGTATTATACATTTTAAGACAGTGGTAGCCCAGTGGTATCGCGCTCGCTTGGGAAACCGAGTGAGGGGGTTCAAATCCCGGGTCTCGCACCTCTGATATTTTCATGTGAGAATCATTTCTAACATTATTACCATTGCTTTACGGTGAAGGAAAACATCGTGAGGAAACCTGCATGTCTGAGAGAACCTAGCAAGTTTTCGAAAGACATGTGAAGTCCGCCAACCCGCACTTTGCCCGCGTGGTGGACTATGGCCTGATCCCCCTCGTGTTGAAGGGAGGCCCGTGCCCAGCAGTGGGACGTTAAAAAGGGCTGAATACATACATAATACATATATCGTAAATGTCATTCTCAAATTCAATCATCATTTTCAAATGTCTAATAACTTTTTATTATAATTCTTACAATTTTACTGTACATCTACTTAATTGTACCTACTAATTAATATAATTGGACTAGAATAATAAAATACTACCGTCTACCGTTTACACGTGACTAGATAAATCTATACTTACATGTAATAAAAGGGCAACTAATAAAAGTTGAGAATCAAAAATAAACTAAGTTTGGCGCCTTACAAAAGTTGTGCATCGAATTACCGAAAATTGAACACAATTGGTATAACGCATCACATCAAAGTGGATTTCAATTTAGGGTGGCTAATGATGTGACCCACCCACCCACAAATATTTGTAAGTGAATGACGTAATTTTAGATCATCACTAAAATTTGTCGGTATTAAGTTACCAGTTAGAAATCGATAGTGTTATAACTGGTAGTAAACAAACAGTCGAGCGCAGTATAGCGCACTCGTATGTTAAAGACTTACCCACTTGCTAAGTGAAACTTGTTACATTGATTTTAGCTTAATTTTAAATTAATCGGTCAGGTAGAAACTTCTAGTTAGATCTTTCCTCAATACGCAGTTTTATATAAAGCAGAGGTCACGTTTGTTGACTGTGAATTAAACTTCAAGAGACAAGCAGTAAGCCCGATGTGATTTCTCATCTTCAATATAAACAAAATTTAATACGTCCATTACAATATTTCTAATGGCAAAAATGATGAATTTCCAATTTTGCGGATGAATTTTCAAATATCCTTCATTAACTGGCCATCATTAGAACCTAGTGTACATTTTGGAAATAATCCACATATCTAGATCTAGCAGTTGAGGCTGTCCGTTAACTACAGCATTCAGTGACTTGGTGAATGAATTTAAGATTTCATCAGAAGACATTCAGGAACTCGATAAAACAAAACTCACTATTCAACCAAACATACGTCTGAGAAACCTTCATCTTCCAACATGAGAAATCTTTTCAGACTCTTTGGTAGTGGCAGATAATTAACATAACAGTACAAAGGTCCATTTCGACATAGCTTTCTGATTCGTATCCTGCAAATATCTAGCAGACTGTGCGGTTGCCTGCATACATTGTATAGCCACATGGAAGTACCACACTTTGGTGTACAATTTGCATCAGGTTGAGAGATATGGTGGCCTGCTTTAAGAAGCAAGTTAGCTAAATGTGTTGACCGCCGTCGACTGGCTATAGATAGATTGTCTAAACCACATGAATGTAAGTCGCAAGCGTTCACATCAGCCCCGTGTCGAATCAGCAACACCGCTGCGTGATCTCTGAAATCGTTTGAAATTGTTAATTCTCTTATTAAATTTACTATAAATAATAATAATAATTTCATACAGTTTCTATAATTAATTGTAAGGATTTCGAATTTAATGAAGTCAGTAGCCTAAATATCTATTCTATATATAATATTCTATTCATTCTATACCGTTCTATTCCGATTCTATTTACAATCTTATTATTAAAGAAAAACAAAAACAAATCTATCCTACGGGCACCGTAAATTTTTCCGGGACAAAAAGTAGGCATGTGTTATTCTGATGTATGAGTTATATTATTGTAAAGTTTTATTAAAATCCATTCAGTCAGCGATAATGGTCATTTTATATAGTTATACTATCAAAAAAAATAACTAAAAGTTGAAAATGATTAAAATATACTATTTAAAACACGAGAAACGCTAAGCGGATTTCAATTCTTTTTTTACAGTGTACAATGTACTATACATTTAAAAACAGCGAAATTTTATTTTATTTTAAATTGAATTTTAAATTGAATTCTAAAATAAGCTATTAAGGTGTATTAAAAATACATATTTAAAAAAGCCTCCAAGCATACCTTTTAAAAAAAAACTATCTGTTTGCTAAAGTTAATTTACCTCGCAGCCGCAACAGAACAGAAGACATAAGCTTCTTGCTAAATAATAATATAATAAAATGAAAACTTACTTTTGAAGCAGCAATGCTCTATTTAATGCAGTATCTCCAGTTAAGGCTGTAGAGTTCATATCAATCTTATACTTTAAGAAGCACAAGAGCAATTCTTCAAATTCTTTTGGGCAATTTATACTTTCCACGGCTACGTGGAGAGCACTCGCACCAGTAATGCTATTGCAAGAATTTATATTTGCACCTGAAATAGTAAAAAGAGCGTTACAACGACAAGTTAGTTGCGAGTAAAAAAGAAACTACTATCTGAAAACTGGAAAAGAGTAAATATTGTAGAAAATGCATTAAATCAGATGCTTTAAAAATTCAATATCTAAAATTTATTTTATATAATACTTGAAAATAACTCCGAAAATCAAAACTTTATTTGCGCTTATTTGTAAAAAAATCAGATATTATATGCGCATATTTGTAATAACGAAAACCCCATCCCGATCAGATCAGTAGTTTTTGAGAAAATCGTGTACATACAAACAAACATACGGGTCGAATAAAGAGCCTCCTTTTCCGAAGTCATTTAAAAATACCAGTTTTTCTTTAATATAGAGATTAAAACATAAGCAATTTCATTACCCTTTTGCAGAAGGATTTGAGCGATGGTCGGCTGAGACAAGCGCGCAGACAACAGCAACGGAGTGTCACCATTGTCATTATGTAAATTAATGCCACCACCCATATTTGCAAGCATTCTTACTATGTCTTCCTAAAATGATAAAATGTTTTAGTTGAATTCATACTATACAGTTCATCAAAAAAATTGTAGTTTACAAAGTAAAAATTATCGATTTCTCCAGTTATATCAATTTTTAAGGGTGTTGTTACAGGTTGTTACGACCATACAATGTTTTTATTTTTTCAAAAATAAGAGTGCAAGACGAAATAAATGAGCCCTATCTGAAAATTGAACGATTTTTTTTAAATGTAAACATCCACTTGAAGTTAGGGGGGGGTGGTGGTGTTGGTTTAAGCCTCCCAAGACCATAAAATACAAACTCGGAACGGCTAAACATTTCAATTTCAAAAAAATGGTTATTATATGTATTTCGAAGATTATATTCCCCTAGTTTCATGAAATTAAAAAAATTATTGCAGAAATTAAAAAAAAAACGAAAAAATTAAAAAACGGGGTTTTCGGAAATATGTCGAAAACTTTGAGGTTATTATAAAAGTCGTAGATTTTTACTAAACCTACAACTTTTGTAGAGAATATTTTTCGATAGGATGTCACAGCTAGGCAGAAATTGAAAAAAAAAACTATTTTTAAAAGGTTTGCTATACTTGTCTTGTTTGCTATAAACGTCTAAAAAACATAAAACTTCAGGTTTTAATTTTTTGTGTAGCGCATCGCGATCGGACTATTTGTATAGCGCAATTTAAATTAAAGAAAAACTTAATAACGAATAAAAACTTAATTTGTTTCAAATTAGGTGCTTAAAAAATTGTATTATTCCTTCTTTTTTTAGACTTCAAACTTTTCAATGAAGTATATTTGACTGATTTAAAAAACGGGGAGGTTCTAATACTATAGGAAAGTAGGAAATTATTTTTCAAATCGGACTTTTAGTGCAGGAGATTAGCGCACATAAGCAAACAAAACAAAAACAAACTCTTTAGCTTTGTATATTAGTACAGACTACAGACAGGTACCTCAAGAATGGTACCATATAAATGTTTCTTTATTAAATATCTATTTATGTTCTGTTACCTGTCTCTGTATAATTGCATTGTGCAAAAGTTTATGGGAATGTGTAATTCTTGCTCCTGATAATAACAATACTTCAACGACTTTAGTATATCTCTGCCACACTGCTTCACATAAAGGTGTGTAACCTAAAAATATACTTTTTAATAGAATAGATTTGAAGAATTTACGAAGAATCATTTGCTCTATCTATATATGTACACTTATAAAACAATTAATAAAAAAAAATGAAATTACAGACAGTCTGTGATTTTGTCTGTTATTTATATGATACCAGAATTTAAACACTCCTTTTTAAAATATTTCTCTGTCTTTCTGTTTGTTCAGGATAATCTTTGGAACGGCTTAATCAATTAAATCTACCTAAACATATTATATATCTAAGCATAAGCCGAGGCTTCAGCCTTAAGCATTAAATGTTAAATACTTATTTCTTAATCTTATTTTACTTTATGAAACTAGATTATACTCTTTATAGTTATGTAGGGTAACATTGTGTAATTAGTAAATTGTAAAATCGCATATCGAGAAAACATTAGGAAATAAATAAATTTCTTTTTATGTATATGTGGTAACGCGCTCGCTTTGTAAACCGAGTGAAGCGGGTTCAAATCCCGGGTCTCGCACCTCTGATATTTTCATGTACGAATCATTTCTAATATGATTACCACTTGTCTTACGGTGAAGGAAAACATCGTGAGGAAACCTGCATGTCTGAGAGAACCTAGCAAGTTTTCGAAAGAAATGTGAAGTCCGCCAACCCGCACTTGGCCAGCGTGGTGGACTATGGCCTGATACCCCTCGTATTGAAGGAAGCTCTGTGCCCAGAAGTGGGACGTTAAAAAGGATGTATAACAACTTATTCAATAATTTTTATATAGAGGCATTATGGAAAATATGATTGAAGTTTAAAGTTGATAGCGTTTAAAAGAAATTGCATAAATATAAATCATATATTAAAAAAAATTAGTTATAGTAGCTTCAAATTTAAACTTACCATGAATCTCTTCGCCATTAACATTCGCGCCTACTGATATGAGATACCTCACAACCTCCACATGTCCTCTTCCAGCGGCTAAATAAAGTGCTGTGCGTTCACTTGTGTCTCTTGCTTCCAAATAAGCTCCACTATTCACCAAAATTTTTACCTTAAAAGTATAGATTGTTACGTTCCCAAGATTTTCTTCAAAAATTTTTGATTGATTTTCTTGAAATCATATAATGAAATTTAATTATATAGTAAAAAGTGAAACTAACATTATATTAGAAACTTGGCTGTTTTAGGTCACTTTATCATTATACAATGTTAACATTGAAATAAAATTCTATCAGTCATAATTTTAGATGGATATATTATGTGACTTGTGTGTCTGTAATAAAATGATTCTTATGATTCTAACAAAGTTCCTCAATACAGCTTATTAAATCAATGACAATATTTATATCATAAGATGAACTTTTAAGACAAAAAAAATCTACCAGTTCAAGAAATCCCCTAGATGCAGCAAAATGTAATGGTGTCATTTTCTCATGTGTTTTATAGTTGACATGACTTCCTGCTGATAAAAGCTGTTTCACTACTTCTGCATGATTTTTCATAACAGCAATATGCAAAGATGTTAGACCATCACCAGCTGTTATATCTACTTTACAACCTAAAAAAAATATTGATATGAGTTATGTAGCATTTTTAAAATGCTGGCATTAGAAAAATCTTAAAGACACTTAAAAAAATGTTTCAGAATATGTATATACCTGCATCAATGATTAGTTTTACAATTCCTGAATGACCTTGTTCAACTGCATAATGCAGAGCTGTCCTCATGAAAGCATCTTGTTGATCAATTCCATTTGTAACTATAGAAGCAGATGCAATAGCAGCTCCAGTACATTCTAATATAGCAGCATACCATCTGTAAATAATATAATAATAAAATTATTACATGATAATATATATAATATTACCTTAAAACTGTTTTATAGGGAATTTATATAAATATATACTTATACATAGATGACCATGTTTCATCTTCACTGGTAGTAGGAGCAACATTAGCTGTCTCCTCGTCCCATTCAAGTTCTGCTTGTGGTGAAGAAACAAGAGAAGATGGGCTCACTGGTGATTTTAAACTACACATTTTACTTTCATCACTGCTTGAGCCCTCACTATGTATAAAAACAAAGTATCCTTGATTTTTATCTGACTTTTGACTATCTTGTAGTACAGAACTACTCTCAGTCATGGAACTGCTCCTAAATGTTCTGTCATTGAGGTTTTTGTACTTTATGACTGTTTCATCATGTTGTGTAGAACCACGAAGCTTTCTCTTATGCAATTTTACATGACGTTTTTTAGAATAAGTTTGAGTAGCATTCTTGTTTTGTAGATAGTTAGACTTACAAGCATCAATTAACTGGTTTGTTATACTCATATTACCAATATTAGCTGCCTCTCCCAAACACGTTTTACCATGGCTAGTTATTTTGTTTGGATTAGCACCTGTAAATACGATAATTTAATTACTTAAATGTACATATATTATTATATATATTAGTATATAAAATTCAAAAATTGAAATGATTTTATAATATGGGATAAAGCTCTATAGAGTTAAAGGTATACCTTGTAGAATTAAACTTAAAATAGAATCTTGGTCTTCTAGAACTATGGACTCATATAATCTATCTTCTAATGATTTATCCATTACTGCACCTAATTAAAATCGTACGATTATATTTGTCTTTATTATTCAATATATAAGTTGATACTTAATATCTTCATATCTTTTTCATATACGATCATTCTTAGTCGCCTACTAATTAATATTTCAATTTTGTAAATAAACTTATATACAAATATGGATTAATAAAAAATAAGGTTCATATTGTGTGTATGTTTATATTTCAGTTTTTAAGTATTTCATTACATATTAAACTTAAGTTACACAGAAATATTGTGTAATCCAAATATTCATTATCCTTGATAATAACATTTAACAAATTCTTATATTTTGACAGCTGAAATCCGAATACAGACAGGAGCAAAGCCATGCCAACTATAAAATAATAAAATATCGATTTTATACATCGATATTTCCGAAAACGTAAAGTCCCTATTTAAGACAACTTACAAGTATAATGTAACATCATGAGTAACATGCTAACAATAATAATTTTTAAAAAACTTAATAACTATAAACTACCCCTTCTTAAACAAATGCTTTTATATATCAATATAAACCGTTACATAAATATATTTAACACTTTTAAAACCATAAGATTTTATAGCTACTTATTACTAGTGATGTGTGGCACATAAATAGGTATTTTCTATCCATTTTCTATCTGTAATAGTTGTCAAATTGTCAATCTGTGATATTTATTTTTGGAAGACCGTGAGTGGAGTGAAGCGGATATAATTATATACTTTTTGTACGCAAAATCCTTCTCCTTATATTAAAAAAGATTCGTGTTTGAACTATATTGTCGTATTAAAATCATATAGTAAACATTCAAGTATACCACTGGTGCTGGTGTCTGTTTCCTATCGTAATGTTTTGTATCTCTATTTGTCTAATCATTTTTTACTGTTCTTTTTAATTCTTAAACGAATACTCGACACCTATTAAATATAGTTGCTAACGCCGATCTATTTCAATTGTACTGTTCTTTTGTATTCCTATAAAAGGAACAGTTATTCATGCATTTTTGAGTGTGGGCGTTTTAAAACATTTCATACACAACTATTACTTTTAATGTCCTCACTTATCGTTTTAATGCCTTGTGTTATTCTAGGAAACATGGTAGCAAATCTTTACCAGGATGTCTGCTGAAAATTGCTTAGTAAAAGCAATATATTCTTTTAAAGGAAAAAATAATGATGAGCTCTGCTTCAAGAAAGGTGACATTATTACTGTCACCCAAAAGGAAGAAGGTGGATGGTGGGAGGGCACATTAGGTGAAACAACAGGATGGTTTCCAAGTAACTATGTTACTGAATATAAAGGTAAATTCAATGTTTAAAACATTTAAATATGAATATATACCAATTCTATTTTTCTAATATTATAGAATAAAGCACCTTATAATCTATTAAGTATGAAATGCTTATTTAAAATAATATAAACAAGTGATAAATTCATTGTTATTATAACATATTTGATTCAAATGTGATTCATGCACACAGATAGTTTTTGGGCTGAAGAGTAAGAGATAGAATTCTAGTTATTAAATAGTTTCCAAGCAATATCTCTTCTGTCTATGGCAAAAATAACTAAATAAATAAATATTTTATTTTTAATAAAAATATTGTATACATAGGTCATGCTTATATTACTTATTATTTACAGATACATCTGGTTCCTTAACAACATCACCAATAAGAGCAGCTTCAGAAATACAAGCTTTTAGAAATGTAGTACTCAAGGATATAATTGACTCTGAGAAAGCTCATGTAGCGGAGATGCAAGGTCTAGTTAGCAATTTCTTGCATCCCTTAGAAAAGAGTGACATGTAAGTTAGATAAACCACATATAGGCATAGGCTATTAAACCATAACCACAACATACTTTTACATAATAATTAATAAATATATTAATTTAAAGGCTAACAAAGGATGAATTCAAGCAACTCACTGGAAATATTAATGAAGTATTGCAAGTCCATGAGCAATTCCTTTCATTATTAGAAGAATGTGCAATGAAGACAGGACCAGACCAGAGAGTTGGTGGTTTGTTTTTACAATGGGCACCTAAAATAAAAGCTGTTCATCAGACCTATTGTGCTGGTCATCCTAAAGCTGTTTGTATCCTAGATAAATACAAGTGAGTATTTATATTGTTATTACTTTTGTTCCCTATATATATTATTATTTACTAGTGGCTTACCCTTGCTTCACTTGGGTGCTCCCCTAGGTCCCTTTTATATAGATAAAAATAGTTATTGTGAGTGTATCTTAGAGATAGACATAGACTATCATAGAGTTTTCTGTATCCCTTTTTAAGACCTACAATTTCCTCTTCCTCCTTCCTCGTTTATCACTCTTTCGATAAGAGAAACCATTTCAAAATGTGTTGCATGGTTTAGAAGACGTAAGCAGAGAAAGAGGTAGATGCAGACAGTGAGCTTGTTTTATACTATGTATAAAACAAATATAGCTCTTAGCTATAACTTTATTTTTTAGGAGTTCTATATATTCCTATGCTCAAATCTATCTATACAAGATTTAATCTATATCTATGCAAAAATCTTCACGAACAAAAAATGAATAATCCAATATTCTGGGTCATTTCTTTTTATAAAATTAAAACATGTAATGTAAGTATATCTAGGCATTATAATGAAGTTTTTGTAACTTATTTTCCTTTCCGGTAGAAACTATTTCTATTTTGATCAGGACTCAAAAATAGACTTATGATTATCATTCACCCATTTTAACAATATTCTGTGATAATCTTTTAATACCACCATAAAAAGTACCACAAGATATTATTCTCTTGACTCATAAGCTATTGCTTTTCTAAAATAGAAAAAAGGGTGTGAAAGCTTCAGACATTTTCAAATATGTTTATGTCTTTTGTAGAGAAGAACTGAACACATGGATGGAAAATGCAGGAGCAGTTTGTCCTGGGGTTTTAGTTTTGACTGCTGGTTTGTCTAAACCATTTCGCCGGCTAGGAAAGTATCCAGCTATGCTGCAGGAATTAGCCAGGCATGTGCATGAGGCCCATCCTGATAGAGGAGATACACATAGAGCTTCCGTTGTCTATAAGGATATATCAGTAAGTTTTCTAAATATACATTCAAAAATAATAAATTAATAGCTTATTTGTATGCTTGGCTTTTTGTGTGCATTTTTCTTCACATGTTTAGTAACCAAATTATATAAAAGATGCAGATAAACAGATAGTTCTTTACGAAATAAAGATTACCTTAGCTATATATAACAAATACATTCACTTTATCAACTTAAGTGAAGCAATTGAAATTGCAAAAGTTGTAGTTTCTATTAATTATCTGTAGCTAATTTTCGCCCCAGGCTCTGCTCATGTGGTATCAATAAAAAAAACCTTATGTTATATTTTATCCTTATGCCTGTTAGACTATAACAGTATGAAAATTCAAAAAGCACACCCATTCTCTCACTCATAGACTGTCAAGTTTACCAAGTTAATGTGATTTGTAGAGTGGTTGTGCAGCTTTAAGAAGACAAAAGGAATTAGAACTACAAGTGGTAACGGGTGAAGTGCGAGGTTGGCCGGGTGGAGAGCTGACGTCACTAGGTGATGTGCTACACATGGGCAGTGTAGCTGTAGGACCCTCACATCAAGATAGATATCTCGTGTTGTTCCCTTCTGCTTTACTTCTATTGTCAGTGAGCAAACGTGTCTCTGCATTTGTTTATGAGGTATGTATTTTTTTCTGGGATTTCTTTGCATTATTATTTTTGAAGTGAAAACATGTATAGGCAGGTCTAGATGGGGAGTAAATTCATGTCGTCATCGACATGGTCACGTGACTTGTTAACGCTAACACTCCGAGTGCCGATACATATCAAAACCAGATAATGTAAAGTAAACAGATTTAATTTAAAATTTTAATTTAAGATCAAACAATTAATTTGAATATCCAAAAATAACCACTGTTTGTCTATAGTTTTAAGTTTTCACTTCTGCCGGCAGTCTTTGACTGCTTTTTTTTATTTATATGTTTACCGAAAAGCATTGTTTTCGATCCGGTCCGATCTAACCTCAGTCTTAGAATTGATATCAATATTTTATAAAATGCACATATAATTATCCTAAGCTTATAAAAATAATATTTTTTTAGGGATGTCTTCCATTAACTGGTATTACAGTATGTAAGTTAGATGACACAGATACAAGGAAGAACGCATTTGAAATTAGTGGCCCAATGATAGATACAATAGTAGCTGTGTGCCAAACTAGAGCTGAAGCGGACAATTGGGTTAGTTTATTGCAAAAACATTCAAACAACAGCAGTCCAGCCCACGAAGCAACTCAGCCTCAATCACTACCACATGTAAGCCTTTTAATATTATATCATTATTCATTTCATATTATTCTTCTACAGCTTATGTTTTATCCTCTTTTTTATATTATTTAACTTATAATACACATTCCACAGTATTCATTGTATGTCATAAAATGGTGGGTAAAAAAAATTAATGATGATTATAATAGCTTCATTTGTCTGCCTCATTTGTTTTGTTTATATTAAATGCTATGAGTAAAAATATATTTCATAAAACTTATTTCTTATTTAGTTGACCCGCTCTCCTTCTGAAGGCGCTCTATCTAGTATCAACTCTAGTCGTCGAAGTCTCTATCACGTGACCCTTCCGCCGCCTAGTTACCCTTCCGCCTCACCATACTATTCCCTAACGAAATATTTTGCGAGGCTCGTCAAAAAAAAAGTTATCACTAGACAAATGCTGCGTAAACTTTTACATGAAAAGACTTGGGCTAAAGCGTTGGAACTCACAGGCTTGCCGGTTAGACGAAGGCATAAAAACCTTGTTAAGTTAAAGATTGAAGATGACGGTACGATAGGTACTGAAACAGACAGTTCTGACAGTGAAGGGAACTCCGATAGTGAGAGGGAGATGGAAACAACAGAAAGTTACTCCAATTCGAGTTGCACAGACGCCGAAGCCAGTAGCTCGTCTAAAATAACAAGACAAAATGCAATAGACAGTATTGGTCCAAGGACAATTTCTTCATCGTGTAGCAGTTGGGGAAGCAACTTTGGCTACGTTCGATATTTTGATACTTCCACAGATATGCAATTTGATGTGCCGCATAATACCATTAAGGGTGATTGTATGAAAAATTTGTTCATATCTGCACCATCTGACACTGAAAACGAAAATAGGTCAGAATATAATTTACAAAGATCGTCGCGAAACAATAATTTGAATGTGCGCAACCATATTCAACATTCCGATAGTGCTGAGAATTCTAGTTTCGAAGTAAGAAATTATAAAGGTTGCGAAGATTTAGTAAATATGGACCAGAACATGCAAATGAATCTAGTCAATAATGAAACGGATTTTATTTCAACAAGACGGAGTTTCCCAAATTATAGTGAACGTAATAATACGGTTCCAAAGTTATGGAAATCTACTGAGGAACATTACTCCCGCGAAGATGAATATAACAATAATATGATTATGTCAGACTTGTTGCAAGTTCTCGATCCGCCTTCGTCCAGACAAAGTCGCGACTATCCTTTAGACTCAATTATTATTGAGCCTCCACCCATGTTTCGTAATGATGATGAAGACCTAAAGATTATAAACGTTAATCTAAACGCCAATGTACCTTTCCGTAAACATTCTCTTAATTCTGACAAGAGAATACGAAGATCTATGTCTAAATCGATGGTAGAGACAGAAAATAAAAAGAATAATAATAATACACATTTGGAAAGAATGAGTTCTCAGTCTGAAACTTCAAAAGTACGACAAAAATGCGAATGTTGTAATCGCTCTCTTTGTCCCAGTCCAAGATCTTCTGACTCTGGCGTGGCCGGTAGTTGCAATTTAGCATCGCCCGAGCTAAACATGCACGGAAACGATTCCGACAGTCATGATAAGACATCCGATGATAATATGAAGGACTCACTTAATAATTTATCTCAAAGTACTTTTGAACATCGAAAGCGGACCCTTTCAGAAATAGAAGCAGCGCGATTTGAAGAACAGTGCAGATGCACTTCACCATTTGGTTCAACAGCCAGAACGTCCTGCGTCACAAGCGTTACTTCGGAGACTAGCTTTGACGTTAAAGATTTATCCAATACAAATGTCACATCCACGTTCGCCGCGAGTCCTCCAGTGCCCTCTATACAAATAAAACGTACATCCATCCGCAGAAATATCGAACGATATGTACCGGAAATAAAACTAAAACCGGAAGTTCCTCCACGTATTTACCGCAAGCCCAGCACGCATATAGAGTTTCCGAAAAATGTTCGACAGCCGATACCCTGTCAGTGGAGTACACTGAACATAACCGAGCGAACTAAGCCCAGTTTGCACTATCATATGCGTATATACAGAGAAAAACCTGAAGATAATAATAGACCATCGCGAAAAGATATATCCCGCAATTGTGATTTATTCAATAAAGATAACAAACAGAAGGATATCAAATCTAACTTGGCTCAAAAGACGCGTTCTCGAAGTGAGGACATGAGTAAAGTTCAGAAGGGCTTAACGGAAGCTCAAACAGGCTTCGTGGTGTATCGTTCCGACTTGTATGCCCATTGGTGGATGAAAGCGAAATTACCCATTACCGTGGTCACCGACTCAGGCAAGGATCATTTTTTTGTAAAGGAAACTGTTTGTGTATCACTCGTTTGAAGATTGCCTTGAAATATATAACCACTAGATTAATAATATTGTCATTAGAGTTACCCCAATACAGTGCTTTACTTGATCATCCTTGCCTGTGTTTATTCATCTTACTAACAGAAAAACAATCACTGCAAGTAGATCTCACACTAACAAATTAAGATATTTTTGTGCATGGAAAGGCTTTTCAATCTACGTTTTCCCATGTACGTTATGTAAATCGATACATCGAAATTAAAACTCCCAACTGTATGGGAATGCTAAAATGCCCGCAGTTTGTAGGCTTTTAGTTGTTCCAATTAAACTACTCGTGAGAGAGTAGAATAAAAAGGCAAGAGTGTGTAATATTTTACAGAACGAAACAAATTCGGCGGTCATTTATTTACAGCGTAGTATGAGTGTTAGTTTTATGCCGCTTAATGTGTACTTTTTCTATCGTAAACATGAATAGTGTGTGTAAAATACGTGTTTAAAGTCTGAAATATTTTCAGATGGCCATGAGCGACAGCAATAGCGAACTTTCATCGGGCCTCAGCAATCACAAACGATCCCATTCATTCAACAACCATCAAAGCTACACTCAGCACTCACAACAATCACACAAAAATAAACAAAAGAATCAATCGGCGCGTTGGCTTTTAAACTCATGTGACTCGCTTGATCAATCGCCCGCAAAGTCTACCAAAACTCCGATCGGAAAGAAATTCTCGTCCGTCGATTTCATCGATACGACCGATTCATCTTTTAGTAATAAAGGTAAATTTAATTTTAATCCCTATTATTCCAAGTTGTTTATTATATTAGATCATCTTCTATTAATAGACCAAAAACGACAGTTCAAGGTATTCGCCAGATGTTTGGTTAGAGCTTTTAAAATAAATCGAATAAATGTCTGTGATTCATAAACTTGGGAAATGTTTGTCATTTGGAAAAGAACGTAAAAATAAATTAATTATTATTGTTATCGTCTTGCGACCAATCGAAAGGAATATAACATAATGCTTTAAAAAATAATGTTTTATAGTCTCAGTTATTTGAAGAGATAAGTCATAAGCTGATATTAGATATAAATTAATTTTTCCATAATATAACTGTATAGGTTCTGTGGAAAATTTTATTCCCAATAATTTTAACAATGTTTATCTAATCTGTCTTTTAAACTACATACTATTCGAAAATATGACCTACTATGAAATAATGCAAACCCCGTTCGCTACTCGGGTAAATTATTTTCGTACCCAACTGTACTAGTTTGCTAAATTTTAATATTTTTTATATGATTCTTCGTTCCTTCCATAATTTTGTATGCGATATTTTCAGCACGTTCAAATTATAGATAATCAGTACTAGTAAATTACAGTTAACGATTGATATGTCCTTGCTAATATGATAAATTAAAAAAATATCTTTATTGTCCTTTGTATCACTATTTACTTGTTTACAGATAGACTTTTAACAGTTATTACTTATTATTTTTTAAATTAAATGTCTGTATATAAGTGCACATAAGTGCGTGACAAAGCTACCAAAAGCTAGGAAGTAAATTCTTACTGAGAAGAGCCAGCGGGAAACTCAATAGTTGCTCTATTAAAAATAATATTTGCAAATTTAGTTTATTTTATTAATATTAATCAATCATTCCCAAGGGTGGAGTATAACTTGCTTGCGTCCGGCGCCACCCCTTCGTCCCCAATCCTTCACAGTGGGCTCGGATGAGAACATCGGCCCCACTCACCCTTACGCGCCTCACCAACGAAAATCAAACTCGTACGAAGAAGACGCCCTCATACTGAAAGTTATCGAAGCCTATTGCACTTCGGCCCGCTGTAGAAACGCCGTGAGCTCCGGTGAGTACACAATCACTTATCTACTACTAATATAGACACTATTGCGTTTAGATATTTTATTGATTTTTATAGGTACCTACATTTTTGAGAATATTATTCAATTCATGTTTTAAATACAAAACTAATATTCGATTTAGTTAAAAGAAATTGTAAGTTTTCTAACTGGTACGACTTCATGGTGTCACTGTCATCCATGTATGCTTCAATGTATATGTTGTGAATTGTTAGTTTGAATGTACACATGTACTGTGTGTCGTAACACTTGAAGTATATTATGTGTTATGTCTTAATATTTATATCATAATATATATTGTTATATATATATATATAATAATAATCGAAAAGTTCCTTTATATAAGTCCCTGAAAATAAATTTTATAAATGTATTTTAAAACCGATATGTAAACTAACTTAGTCTCAATTTTATAATAACTGACCTGAAATTCGGCATGCTTAGTCTTGGACGGGAATTAAAATAGTTCATGACAAGAACACGTAAAAGCATAGCGATTTACTAAAACAAACAGTAACTACAATACTACTACAAATACTGTGCCAATACTAACATAAATTTATTTTAATAATTAAAAGAAAGTCTTACATTTTAAATCAACATTTTTAAATTAACTATACAAATTTTATGCGAAAAACGTTAAAATACCAAATAAGAACTTCATATCATAAGTCCTATACCTATATATATAAATCCGCATATTGTAGTTGGAATGTACAGTAGTGATATAAAAGCTTCAAGATATACTACTAACATAGCTTTAATTATTATACAGTACCCAATATTCCACTGGAGATATTCGAGTCGACAAGGAGGAGACACGCAAAGACAAGGAATCGTATTATCAGTTGGTTATTAGAATAAACATCTGTATTACGTTCATAAACAAATATGACTAACCTCTTCCGATAGCGCTTGTTACTATAATAATTGTTGTCATATTCGATGTTCGTGTAATGACATGCGTAATCATTGACTTTAATATTCATACATATAATACTCAATAATTGCATATAATGTAGATCTTTGGAAGCCACGGCGGTGTAAGTGCATGATGTAGCATGCTTGGTCTATCCTATTAGCCTTTTGTACTCACTATTTATTGGTAGCTCTCTAATAATATACGTATAAATCTCATATATTTAACAGTAAGTCTATTTAAATTTTTATTCTAGTACAAAGTAGCTAGTCATTGTTGTTATGTAAAGATATCTGTAACAGTATTATGGATGTTAATATTTTTTTCTTATAAAGCCTGCTAGTATGCCAAATATAGTGTACCTACTGCTGCGTACACATATTTTTTTTTAAAGAAAATGAGTTAGCAGTTTCAAACAAAAGTCGTAAATGCAACAACTACCAATGTCAGAAACTTTATTTATCAAGGATTCTACTAACAAATTCTTATTTCCACCGTAAAGTTAGCACAAATAACAAACTTTACGATCTGTTTATGATCGACTAATACCCTCTTCGGCTCCGCTACAACGGTGGTCTGAATGTTTCTATTTTGTTACATGCGGCTGCCTTTTTATCGCACCTGCAGTGGACTGCGGCCACTATACTCTCGGTAAAGTACAATATCACGCACCCTCCACTAACATACCTCACTTTAACTACACTAAAATCGGTCAAAGAAGCGGAACACCGGATCTGTCGCGCAAGACTACTACGAACAAAGTGAAACGAAACAAAAGTTCTTCGGCAGCGGACGCTTACTTGTACTGCCACGAAAGTAGAAAACTACTTTCAGAACGAAAGTTTCAGCTGAATCGTTCGAATCCGAATTTGTGGGACTGTTCGGAGCGACGGAGGGTTAATATCCTGAGTGGGAACGAGAGGCGTAGCGGCTCACAGCCCAGTCTAGTGACGCCCCTGCGCGCCGTCGTGACACCGGCTCCCGCGCCCGTTCCTCGCTCCGCACGCTCCTCCACTTGGTGCTGTGGCACTTTCGTCAAACAACTCACTAAATCACACCACTTTGACTGACACTAAATTCCCTAACGCTAGGAAGTTGCATCCGCACTGTCAAATTGTAGTCATGACTAGTTCTGCATATTGATTGGAGGTTTAAATGAGCGTAAAATAATGTCATAATCAATTTTTGTTTTGACCATCTTAAGACGATGACATAAATTATAGCCTCAAGGTAAACTCGTCATGGCTGTCTTGTCCCCTTTTGCCTTCGTTTCCCTCGAGCTTTATGCACACGTTACTAAACTTTACTCGCGCTTCTAATCGTTCGATCCCTAAAAGTTGACACATTTTTGTTTGGTGTTCGTGATTGATCATGACGATACTTGCTTATCAAGTCAATTTTTAAATTATATTGTTCCTTAAATAAAAACCCATATTCTACCATCAATTTGACTTCCGTTAAAAATTTAGGTGATAGAATTGGGACGCATGACCCTAATGCTGATTTAGTGCCATTTAAAATGGGCTTTTAGGATGCCTTGTTAACTTTTTATCTTTCTGAACGTACATTGTTTATTGTTTACGTGAAATGTATATCTAATGCATGTGTGCAGTATTATTCAGAAATTATTTAAGAAAATTGCTTTTTAATAGAATAAAATAATATGGTGCGTTATGTGGCTGTATGTATAGATGCATGGTGTTTATAATAGAATATTTTATATACTTCCAGTTAAGTGCCACGAAAATTACTTATAAGTCACTGCTATATAGAAATATATTTGCATCATGTTTTAGAAACGTTTCGTGTTTATCTCATATTTTGTTTATATAATTTTATTTATATTTTATATATGTTTAATGGTATGTATATGTCGCAGGCATATTCACTAAACAAAACAGTCTGTTTGTAAATGCTTGCTGGTTTGTGAAACGCCAAAAGTAATTTTTAGAAGGCTCGCTATTTTGTAATAGTCCATGAAACAGCCAAAAATTTAAGCCATTTAGAAAATGTTCCAGTGAGTTTTATATTACAACAAGTGATCATTTATGATTTATTATTATTATTCCTTTTCTCACGGCTTGCTTACCATATCTTAGTGCTACTTGGAATTTATGGATTAGAATATTACGTAAATACTTAACCAAATTTCATGACGTACCTACTTAAATATAAATAATTTAAAAATTATATAACAGCAATATTATTTATCCCTCGATCATGGTCACCCTAACATAATATGACTTATGGCAAAATGGATAAACATCAGAGCATTATCATTTTGCCTTTGGCATTCATAAACTAGCAAACGTCGACGTTTGTTTATTGACGAATTATACAATATGCCTGCGACATAAAATGTGAGACAAGTAACCAAATACGTTTTGAAAATTATTACTATACGAGGCTAAATATATGTATAATGAATTAAAGTAAATGAAACTTTTATACAACAAAATTTCCGATAGTAATACGTATTGAGCTAGCCCGCATTATTGTGATAGTTTCCAAGAACCTAACAAGCTCTTCTTAACGGAGATGCTATGAAAATTTGGATTGCAGTATGCAAATAAAATTACAGCTAAATCAATATAAAGTGGCTCTTTATCTGTTCAATGTACCCAACCAATTGTATCGATACAATGGTTAAGTAAAAGATATGTTACAATGTACAAATAAAAAATATTGATATAGTACTACATAAAAAAGAATAAATATCCCTACATTGAACCAAATGTGCCTACGTTAATCTTATCGTGTAATTTCGAACAAAATACTTTACTTAACTTTTTGTTTAGTTCATGTAGTTTACACGTAAATGTATGACTCAATCGGTAATTATGACTTCAAGATGAACTTGTTCCTTTACTGGCTTGAAAAATGCTTTTCTATAGCTTTATTTTGGTACCTAGTCTATAAAAGCCACCTTATCTTGATTTGATCATAATGGGAAAGGCTCTTCCTTATTATCGTATTTATTTCGAATGTCTATTAATTTACTTTTTGGGAAAACATGTTACATATATTTTTAGCTTTTAAGTCATTTATTTGTGGTTCCAGGAATTTATTTATTTTGTTATAAATACGTATTTAAAATGATATGTAAACATCTTACGTGAGATGGACAATCAAAAATCTCAAAAGAAGTACGTTTTGTCGAAATGTATGAAACAAAGTAGTCTTATTATTTATTTCAACATATTGTTATAAACGGTAAAATAAATATATTTGTAGATATAATCTTTTAAACTGTGTTGCAATCGCTACGTTTTGATTGACGTTTTCGTTTAAACCAAACGATTTAAGCTGATGCCGCGAATGCGGTTGAATGCTATGCTATTACACTTTCAGCTTTTTATATCTTATTGCAATAACTAATATAGCAGCTCTTATGGTATAAGTAAACATTTAGTATCTATATATGTATATTCCTTATATAAAGTTATATATAGTCTTACATATAAAACATAATATACGTAAATTGTTTTTTGGAATAAATCTGTATTGTCTGTAATATTAGTATCACGTGTCACAAAAATGCATACAAGGTCGACTTTTTGTCCGCTTCACGTGAAATAGGTGTTTTTGCATGTTTCTTTTTGATCAAACGTTATTTAATATTCTGAATCTGGAGTATACAAGAAAAACCTTACTAGTTCATCAATAAATAACTGATGAAAAATAAAATTATCAACAATATTAGCCGTTTGTAGCAATTTCTATGAGTCGTATATAATGAACATATTTGTGTCGCATTTCTTTCATCATCAGACTACAATTTTAGTATTATCTACGAAGATTATATATGCACACAATGAAATGCTACTAAATCCTCCTTTGGATACTTTAAAATTTTACTAACATCACCATTCCTACACTTATATAACAATAATAAGCATACCTAATGGAAAAAGATTTGTTAATTATTGATTCCTTACAATATGAAATGAAATAAAAATATTTAAAAAGTCCTTTTAAGTATTCACAGCTTTCGTTAAAAATACATCCAAAGTACCGAGAGGTTTAATTCACTTTGTAAAATTCATATATAAAGTGATTTTATTATCCAGTTATATATACACTAACTATCATATTATTGTGATACTCATTCAAATCAGCTTTGCAAAGAAATCAGAGGATGTATAAATGCAGTCTTCCATTGAATTTGGTGCTCCGCGCTTGATTGGACCGTCTCACTTTAACAATACCTATATGTAGTATCTTTCTCGATTGTCTAGCAAAATAATAACTTTAAAGTATTCCTGATGTTACAGACAATATTCAAATGGCAGATATTACGATATGGCTTTCTAAGAATCTTTTTATATTGCATTTGTTTGTAATTCAAAAGAATACACATTAAACTGAGTTCAAAAGCGGTAAATGCACACAGTTTTATGGCTAAAACACTAAAACTATTTTATTAAACAATTTGTTCACGAAACTAAAAATCTATTGACTAATTCTAGTTTTTAAGCAACTTTTGCAATTGTTAAAGGCTACCCAAGGGAACAAAACTGTGTTTTGCATCACTAAAATTTACAATATCCGGTATATTGTTGGAACAAAGTTGGAAATAATAGAAATGAACGGCAGTTATTTGTCTATGTACACTCGCGGGGTAATCACAACAGACGGCGAACAGTCTTTTGCATTTGTTAAATATTTAATAACTTAGCACACTAAAACTGGAACATTTTATGCCTTCAAATAGAACAAATAAACATCACAAACGCAAGCTAGTTTAGACTACGTTTTACTTTTAACTGTTCAGTAAGATATTCATATGCTTTTAAAGCTTGTGTAATAAAAAAACTCATTTAAAGCAACGATTGTTATACAACATATCGTAGAGATGGGTCATTTAAAAGCTTTTTCGTAAAAATCATTCTACAATTATTTTTATGATTAAGTGTTGGCGCGCTCGTGTAAACCTGGCATAAGTTGAATAAATATTATTTCCATCTACGTAGAACAACTTGCCCCATATATAAAACTTAGTTTTCCATATTCAATATCCAGATTTCAATTTGTTTCTCTAAATGAAGTAACATGTGCGACTTGCTTTGCCTTTTCTGTGATTACCTAATTGATATTATAAACTGCCATAACTATTACAAAATACGACATCGTTTTCCCAAACAATATATGTAATAATTTAATGTATGTGCGACATTAATCGTTATTGCATATAATTTAATATAGGCAATTCAAATAAAACATCAAAGTCTTTAAGAAAATTAAAAACATAAATGTCGGTATCTCAAGTATTTTACACCTGGTTACTTATTTAATGCGTCGCGTCGCGTTGAAACGGTTTCCATAAATCTAGAGCTTTTAATGTTAGGTACGTACGTACAACATTTCTTCTAAAAAATATTAAGAGTAATAAAATCTTAAATATGACAAAATAATGTTTCACTTTTCTGTCGTTTGTCAAATTACTTTAAAGACGTAAAAAATATACCTAATATCTTTTCTATTCTACGTGACATAATAACTTACCTTATTATAAACTACTAGCGACTCAGCCTCTCTCCGCTCGGGTTCGTCCCTACTTACGTTTTAACGTTTAGTATAGATTACTCGGAGATGAGATATTTTCCCGCAGTAAAAAGTATCCTATATTATGTTGACCCGGATCATTATACCAAGTTTCATCAAAATCTATCCAGTGTTTTTCCCGTGATGCGGTTATCGATAATAATATTTCAATAAGATTTTCCAAAAAAATATTTAATGTACTGTTTCAACTCAGAATGTTATTATATGTATAGATTTAACTAAGCTAGGTACCAAATTAATTCTACTTTCAGGTTTTAAAATATTACCTGTATATAAATATTACTGTAAACAAAGTATTTATTACGTAGATAGTACTTACCTTGCATTACCTATATTCTTTATTCTTAATTTTGGTAGGCGTTTGCAATGTATAAGGGGAATATTGTATTTTTCCTAACATCGCTATATATAATTTTATAAAATCCTTTTATTTATTAAAATATTTTTCGAACAAACTATGCTGCATAAATTTACCCGCTTAATAGCCATGGCACATTTGGTT